TAAAAACAAAATACGTTTTCATGAAGGAATATTAGAATTCCTGCGATTGATAATAAGTGCATTTGGCTCAGATCTCTGCTCAGAGGCTGCTGACGTCTGTGTAGATCGATAAGTCTTTGCTCTGATCAGCACCGACTACAGGCAGATTCCCTGAAGTGGACGTTGAAGACGCTGAAGGTCAATCAACACCTCTGTTAGGAGAGGCCTCTGGAGGCACCGTGACAGCACATTTTGAAATCATTTAAAAATAAATTGTGCTCACGCTGGGATCAGAAGTCAGTTCCACTGCTGTGTGCGTCTGTGGATCAATATTTATGAATAATTAAAGGTAGACAAGCACCACGATGACTGTTTCCACCTCAAAGTCTCCACACACAGAGACCCAGAAGGAGATCTGACCAAAGCTTTGGTTTCACCTCAGAACAAAAGCACGAGAACCAGAGCTGGGAGCATGGTGGGTATAAGGTGAAATTGATCATTTCCTGTAGTTTTTCCTCCTGCTGTGTCAAACCTTTTTCATCTGTCAAAACCTAAAACTCAATGTAAAAAGTGTGTATTCAAAGTGAGGCTCTGGGTCCATGTGTAAAACCATGAACAGGTTCAATTTAGCTAAAGACTCCTGATTTTTAATATCAAATATCATTTTTAAAATACTTCAACAGGACTTAAAACTTAATTTGTTCAAATCAAATAATAAAATATTAAGTTTATTATTAAAAATTAACATATTTAGTTTCTGTGCAGACTCCAGCCTGTAGGTGGCAGTAATGATCTAAAACAGGATCACTGGCGGATGTCAGCATATAAGAATGTTTGGTGAACAGTGGAGGACAAAGACCAAAAGTGTCTTTTAGTATTTTAAATGGCCCAGTGACAAAATAAACACAATAAATCAAAGTCAAACAAGAAAACCCCCAAAACAAAACACCTCACGTTAACCAGTTAAAGACCACGAGGTGACCTTTCACTGCACTACCTGTCAACTGACCACAGTCTGACTGCAGTAAACCAACACCTTCAGAAATGGTCACAAAATGTAACAAAGCAAAATAAAAAACAAAAGACAAAAATAAATACAATTTATGGTATGAATTGTTTGACCTACCAGAGAAGAAGGCTCCACTCACTGTGTGTATTATTGTTTGTTGACAATGAGGTTCACCTGATTAGGTAACTTCCTGTTTACTTCCTGTTTCCTGTGTCCATCTGCCTTAAACCCAGATGTTTGGGTTATTTAAATAATCAACCAACTGTTATTGTTATTATTTTAATGATGGTCTTTCCGCACTGGAATTTGTCTCTATTTATATAAAAATATTATTTTAAATATTTTAATGTAAACTTATTTACTCTTTGTTGCTTTATAATAGTTTTTAACATAAATATATATAAATATACAGTATGTACATATAACCCCATGTTTCATATACACACAATTTACCTATAACCTTTTCATTAAGCCTTTCCTCCAGAGCTGTCTTTGTTTTGTCCCAGTTGAATTTCTTTAGTTTAATTTCTTTTGGACTTTTATTTTATCTTCTGGAACTTCCTGGCTATGACCTTCTGGTTCTTTCCTTGTTTTCACTTTGTTCTTTAGCCATCTCTGAACTAAGGTTTTTATTTTCTCAGGTGCTTTGTAAATATGCTTCTAATTTAAAAAGAAGGTGATGAATATTTAATGATTATTATCAAGGAGCCTCCAGACGCAGCAGAGAGACTGTGTGCCCGGAGAAAGGACCAGCGAAAAGTTATGCAAACTAAACGCGCACGTGCAGATGCCCCGTGGGCATGACTGGCAAATGCTTAGCTGTAGAGCTGAGCTGACTCTCCTCCATAATGCTATTAAATACATGCACGTCCCTGGTGGCAGAGCCAGATGCCACAAACTGTCGCCGGGCAAACAGAAGGAAAAGCAAACAAACCATCAGTACGCTGCCAAATGAAAATAATGAGCTGTAAGCAGCATCTGCAGGAATAAAACAGGTTACATCTCATCAGGACCTAAATGAGGAGCCCCGACTTGTACTACAGAATGATTTCACTCCTTGCATTTGAATAACAATGGAGACCATATTGCGGGGTGCTGCAGGCACTCTTTGTGCTCCATGTTTGGTTTGGGATGCGACCAATGTATTTACATAATGTGAATAAAATTCAAATCACTCTGTTTCATCTAAGTCTCCCGGGATCTGAAGGGTTAAAGCGTTGAAAAGTAGAGGAGCAGTTTTCATTATAGTGGGAGACCTCGGAGCATCTTCTTATCAGCAGACCTCCATGTTGTTTCTGGATGGCCCTGAAGTAAAGAGGGCAGCAGGGCTGCAGTCCTGACTGAGCTGCTGCAAATGAGGCACTTTGGCCTTAATCCCTGACTAATTAATTGCCAGGCTGCTGAGGGCAGAGCGGGAGGTAATACCTGTCTGATAATGGGTGCCGCTGCAGCCTGTCTGTCTGACTGTCTGTCTGACTGACTGTCTGTCTGTCTGTCTGACTGTCTGTCTGTCTGACTGTCTGTCTGACTGACTGTCTGTCTGACTGTCTGTCTGTCTGACTGTCTGACTGACTGACTGTCTGACTGACTGTCTGTCTGACTGTCTGACTGACTGACTGTCTGACTGACTGTCTGTCTGACTGTCTGTCTGTCTGACTGACTGTCTGACTGACTGTCTGTCTGACTGTCTGTCTGACTGACTGTACCTGGAGAAAACACCCTCACACAGAGAAAACCAACAACACCAAACCATTAAACCTGTGACTGTCTTCCTGTAAAACCAACAGAGAAAAACAACAACACCAAACCATTAAACCTGTGACTGTCTTCCTGTAAAACCACAGCTGTAACCACTCTTTCACTGCGTTGCCCCCCCACCTGCTCGTTCACACAGAGGTTCTAACACCTTGACTGTTCTGCCATGTCAAACCAGAGATGGTTAGTTATTTATCACAGTTTTCATTTTAATTAAAGTCGTCCTTGAAACGTGAATCCCTACTCTCTGGGAACAAAGACTTCAGTTTGGATTTGTCAGAAAATGTGCATTAGTCTCAACCACTGTGCAGTGATTGGTTAAAAACAAACCTGCTGAAATTTACATTCAAATCATTATAGAATGAATAATTAATAACACAGAGCTGCTAGCCAGGGGGAGAGCGGGGGTTTAATTAATCCAACATTTAAAATGGAAAGCCGCGGCACATGGAGGTTAAAAAAGAACACAGCATATGTTCCCCAGCTTCTTCTCTCTGTTTTTCTTCAGTGCTTTGAATCAACTTCAAAGATTCGCAGCCAAAAGGGAGCAAACACTCTCACTGCTTTGTAAATATTCAGTCCAGGAGGATTACACAATTCACAACACTGTGACCTACATTTTAACGTTCGCTGTTGCCTCCTGTGTGATGAAGAATGAAGGATAGGGACCGCTGATAGGGGGCGCTGCTCAGTGGGCTCTCTGCGAAATTAAACAAAAAATGAGCCGTGTAAAGTCAGGCCACATATGACATGTTGATGAGTTTTAATGAAAACTATCTGTCGTTATGGGAAAAACATAAATATATCATATATATTATGTAGTCTTTTAGCCAATTTGCTAGCAATTTCAAGCAGTTGTTTCATGTTCAAATTCATGTTTTAAAATTGTATCTTTTTTTGTCCAATCTTAAACAATATTTGTATTTCCTTTGTATTTTTCTGCTTATGTTAATTAATTAATTTTAATTTTGTTACTCATCAAATGATTTTATCATGCCATGATACACAGCAAAGCTTATTATTTAAAAAAGCTGTAGTAATGTGGTTTGTCTTCTGGAAAAAAGATGTATTTCCGTTTAATTTATATTTATATTTAAAAACGTCTGTGTTTTCAATTTATATCACCTTTAGGTGTAAAGATAACATACAGCATTTGTATTTTTCCCTTTAGTGTTGTCACTGCCGTGTAAAATAAAACCCTTGTTGGTCATTATGGCTTAAAGCTTGATTATACTGCCAC